CTATTAGTCTCCAGTGTCATGATCTTTTAGAAATCATTCTAATATTCTGATTTGGTGCTAAAGAAGCATTTCTTATTTAAAAAGTCTTTAAAAAATAATAATAAAACAAAACAAAACAATATAAGAAAATAACAATAAAACGAACTAAATAAAATACATAAATACACAAATCAAGTACATAAATAAATAGGCTTACACATCCAATTTTAACTAACAGCAAGCACTAGAGATTGATCAGATTTCAAACATATTATAACTCGATATTTTGATTCAGTGCTTTTAATGTAATCATGCCATTCTGCTAAGCTGTAAATGTGTGTTTCAGCATAAACATGGCTCTGTTGTTAATGCATCTGAATGTCTGAGATTATCCCTTTTAAATCCAGATGTTTTGGTTTGCAGTGAAGGACACAGCTGTTTCCATGTGGTGAAGCCATATAAAGTCGGACACTACATCATCCACCCAGAGTTTGTGTCAGAAGCAAAGCACTAAAAGCCACAGTGTTTGGGCATTTTATATCTATTTTTTTCATTTATTGTCAGTTTAATAATGTAATTTCCAGTGTTGGGGTTAACGCATTAAAAGTAACGCGAGTTATGTAATCAGATTACTTTTTTCAAGTAACTAGTAAAGTAACGCATTACTTTTTAATTTACAAGAGAATATCTGAGTTACTTTTTCAAATAAGTAACGCAAGTTACTTTTTTTCCAAATTATTGATTGACAGCTCTCCTGTCCCCATGCTGAGAGAAATCAGAAGATGTTACTGTAGATCTAAAATAAATATGAATATGCATTAATTCATCTCACTCACAAACCCCCCCCCCCACACAGATTCAGTATTCCTTAAAATGAATAAAAATAATGCAACTCAGAATATGACGCGAACCTGCAATAATTAAATGTTAAACAACACAAATATCCTTTATGTATTTAATCCCATTCTATAAACAACCTACTTGTGGGGGGCCTTGTACAGGAGTCTCCGGTTACACTGTTTCCAAACCACTGAACAGGGATCGGAGGTTGAGATCGACTCTCACTATGTTAGCAAAATAATCTAACCTCTGCTGGGTCAGTGTTACAGGCTATTAAGTGCCACTTACACTCTTAAAAATAAAGGTCTGAAGAGCCTTTCTGTTTCACAAAAGGTTCTTTGTGGCGAAAGAAGGTTCTTCAGATTATAAAAAGGTAAGAAAGAGATGGTTCTTTAAAGAACCTATGACTGAATGGTTCTTTGTGGAACCAAAAATGGTTCTTCTACGGCATCGCTTGAAGAACCTTTTGAAGCACCTTTATTTTTAAGAGTGTAGGGTTAGTTTTCTGAATCCTTTTTGCCACCCAGGACTTCCTGATGCCAAGAATGCTGCAGACAGGATACGGCTCACGGAAATACTTTCAGACAACCACTCCTTCTGCCTCTTTTCTACCTCCAGTAAGACACATATCAGTCCAGTATCCAGGTATCAATACAATCTGTGTCACTACAGCTGAGGTCGAGTCAAAAGAATCACTGTCATTGATCAAATCAGTGTATTGCAAATATCTGAGTGTTTAGTACCTGCTCCAAACAAATATATTTGCATATATTGGAACATAATATGATATATGTAGCAATATATCTACAGTATATCACTATTTTCGTTTTGCTCTGTATTCACTTTAAGACGTACAAACAGCACATGGACAGTCAATGCAGAGCTCATCACAAAGAGACTCCAAACCACCTGCAGTCTCGTCTGCAGTTTGTACACTGCCACCTGCTGCCTGGCTTCTCAAACCACAAACAAACAACTTTGCTCATGCAACAATCTCAAACACACAAGGGTAACGCTTTTGCAATTCTATATTTGAAATGCATGGGCATTGCATAATTAGTTTTAGTTTAACCTAAATGTTATTTTATGATATTGTTTTATGTTTTTGTGCCTGAATAAACAAGATTTATATCCAATCCAAACCAATACCTGAACTGTAGTATTTTTCTGACTACTACACTCTCAGTTTGTGAACAGATGCTATGATTTTGTCCTCAAGTTCATATCTGCTATACTCTTTAGGATTTTTTTTTTGTACTCAGGAAATATTCAGAAACAGATCGTATCAGATCAGCTTGGAACCAGCAGATGGACATCATGCCATCTTTAAAAACCTTCAAACACCAGGTTACCCATCATCACAGATCACGCTCAAAATCCACTACTGATTGCAGGTATTTTATTCCAAAATCTTGAGAGAAAAAAAGGAAGCAAACAAATAAATCAAAACAATATAACTAACTAACTAACTAAATAAAAAAGTATTTTTTGCTCACTAAGGCTGCATTTATTTGATCATGCAGTAAAACAGTAAAATTGTAAAATATTACTATAATTTAAAAAAATAGTTTCTATTTAACTATATTTAAAAAAAAAAAGTATTCCAGTAATGATAACGCTGAATTTTCAGCAGCTATTAGTCTCCAGTGTCATGATCTTTTAGAAATCATTCTAATATTCTGATTTGGTGCTAAAGAAGCATTTCTTATTTAAAAAGTCTTTAAAAAATAATAATAAAACAAAACAAAACAATATAAGAAAATAACAATAAAACGAACTAAATAAAATACATAAATACACAAATCAAGTACATAAATAAATAGGCTTACACATCCAATTTTAACTAACAGCAAGCACTAGAGATTGATCAGATTTCAAACATATTATAACTCGATATTTTGATTCAGTGCTTTTAATGTAATCATGCCATTCTGCTAAGCTGTAAATGTGTGTTTCAGCATAAACATGGCTCTGTTGTTAATGCATCTGAATGTCTGAGATTATCCCTTTTAAATCCAGATGTTTTGGTTTGCAGTGAAGGACACAGCTGTTTCCATGTGGTGAAGCCATATAAAGTCGGACACTACATCATCCACCCAGAGTTTGTGTCAGAAGCAAAGCACTAAAAGCCACAGTGTTTGGGCATTTTATATCTATTTTTTTCATTTATTGTCAGTTTAATAATGTAATTTCCAGTGTTGGGGTTAACGCATTAAAAGTAACGCGAGTTATGTAATCAGATTACTTTTTTCAAGTAACTAGTAAAGTAACGCATTACTTTTTAATTTACAAGAGAATATCTGAGTTACTTTTTCAAATAAGTAACGCAAGTTACTTTTTTTCCAAATTATTGATTGACAACTCTCCTGTCCCCATGCTGAGAGAAATCAGAAGATGTTACTGTAGATCTAAAATAAATATGAATATGCATTAATTCATCTCACTCACAAACCCCCCCCCACACAGATTCAGTATTCCTTAAAATGAATAAAAATAATGCAACTCAGAATATGACGCGAACCTGCAATAATTAAATGTTAAACAACACAAATATCCTTTATGTATTTAATCCCATTCTATTTGCTTCTGACCTTCGACGATCCAGTTCAACCGTACTAATAAGCAAAAATTACATTTGTGTCTTTTTTTATTGCTGAAGTGTGTTGAAATTTCTTCTTCTGCATTCTACTGTATAGACGTAAATTCACTTTCCCTTCAGCCCGAGGCTTATTCATTTCACTTTTGGTGTGAAAAGGCTTTTATATATTTGCCAAAAATATAACTTTTTTATTTGAAAAACAAACAAGCAAGCCCTGTCCAGATTTTAAAGTAACGCAAAAGTAACGTAACGCATTACTTTCTATAAAAAGTAACTAAGTAACATAATTAGTTCCGTTTTTAATGGAGTAACGCAATATTGTAATGTATTACTTATAAAAGTAACTTTCCCCAACACTGGTCACTTCACAGTGTATTATTGAGGTACGTTATGTGTTTGGAGATCCTGCCTTGTAAAATATGCTTGGGTGCAGCTTCGTTTTATTGACTGTAGAATGTAGTTTTGGATCTAAATGTGCATTACATGACAAATAAACAACGTTTATGATGTGCCTGTTAAATGTTTGTTATTTTGTCTTACAAACATTACCATGGGATGGGAACCATAGTAGCCTAAGTACAACATATTCAAGCTTGAGCTTCAAGCTTTTTCATAAAACAGGTTAAAATAGGTCAAATACATTAAAATGGTTAACTTTTGTTTTTCAAACTCACACCAATTAATTCAGTTAATACATATCAAATACTATTGTAACAACTGGTTAAAATAGTTACTGAATTCAAAACCATTATAGGCCAACTCAAATCGCCTATGACAGCAGTTATAAAAAACATTTTATTTTATTTAAAAATGGCTCAAATATACTTCCTTTAAAATAAAATGTGCTACTTAAAAATAACAATATGGAAAAAAAACGATTTAATTATATTTTTAGCTTACCACACTCTTCAACGATCCACATATTCAAATAAAGTAGTTTTTAGTTTTAAAGTAGTGATCGTAGCACCTGGTATTTTGGCGGGATTACCATGGAATATTTTTGCATATTTTTGAGATCCACAGAAAACAAACTTGGTAAGCGCTGTTTTCTTTGTTAGACTAGTTTGTTAGACAAACTCAGTCCGCAATATTCACACTTTCGCTTTCGCTGAGTAGCCTGTAAAACTCAATTTCCCAGAGTTGCAGAGTTTGTGTGAAGAGCGGGTCGCCACATAAACTCCTCCCATAACAAGACACGGAGTTCAACGTCTTGAATTGTCTTGTTCGAGGGAACATGTCAACAAGACACGAAACCAACAGTCCTGGAGCTGGTAAGTATGTTATTTCACGCAACTATTCATGTTTAGGCATTTAAATAGCGAATTCCTCCTGTCAGCCTCGGTAATACACTGTTGTGTGTGTTTCACAGTCGACTCCCCTTGCCTGATATCGACCACTGGCTCTGTCTTGTCTTGTTTCATATGTCTCCTTTTGTGATAAAATAACGTTACTGAACTGTTTTGTAAAGAGGTTTTCTTAGTCGTTATTCTATAGTAATGTGACCATGTAAGCAGTTTTTGACCAGTCACGATGTTATTGTGGGGACTACCGCATGTCTCGGGGCTATGTTACACTTTGACCGATGATCTGTGTGCTAGGTCTCATCTGTCCTGAGTTATTAAAGTAAGAAGCATTCAAGCCTCTTTAAGAGGTCAGCCAATATTAATCGTGTGTCCAGTGCTTGGCTATATTAGTAAAAGTTCACTCATCATACAACGTGGTGATACAACTATCTGACCTATTTACATGTCTGTGTATGTACTGTCAGTGTCCTGTTGAATAAATGAAGGTAGCAAAGACTGAAGAACCAATTTTTTTTTTTTTTGTAGTCACATGTTCCGAATCAGCAACATTTTGTTTACTTGAGTGCTGTGAGATAATGCATGATTGCTTCATCCCTTTAAAAACATTTCTTGTTAGGATAGGCTTTGGCAAGATAGGCATTTAACTATTAGATTTATTCATTTACTTGGAAAAGTATCCTTGTTAAACATACCCGTTTGCTGTCAATCACTGTTTCTTCTTCGGTCAATGTCTCTGCATGACACTTAAAGGTGCTCAACCTACTTTGCAAAATCTTCTTTCATTTAGGGAAGAACTAAAGTGTGTTGTCAGAGAATCACATGCCTCTTGTTACTAGTGAAAATGTCCATTATCAGCAGTACTGAATAGAGTGGAACAGTAGGATATTTTCAATTATATTTTATTAGAGTTTTGATATAATAGCATTATTTGTGTTTTTAGGAGTAGTTTCGCTCTTTCACTTTCCCCCGTTTCTTCAGCATTGTTGCTACAGCCGTACTACTTGTCAATTTTAAAGTCGGCATGAAAACAAATGGACCCTATCTATATTTTAAATGCATATTATGAATCTTATAAGCAATTAATTCATGAATTTTTTCATTTTTAAAAAACATGCATTGAACAAAGACCATGCCCTACATTTTTTATTCTCTAATCAGTTACACTCGGATATATGTCACAATACAGAAGAAAAATTTAACGCCCACTTCCATAAAGCATTGCAAATGACATTGAGTCAGTTCGTACACCTTCAAACAACTATAGTGAATAATTTAATATTTTGCCATTATTTCTGAATCGATTTAGCTGTGCGATTCTGGTGATTGCAGCAGTGACTGCATGGTGCTACTATATTGCCTCCCTTCGTAAAGCTGACCTGCTTAAGACAGAATTGCTTGATCTGAATAAGGATGGCTTTCTCATCCGTAACCAGGCTGGGGGGATTGTCCTGAAGATGGGTTTCAGGTCAGTATGCATGGTGCTTATATTTTTCTGACCGCAAAACGTTCTGATAGCACTACAGACACCAGTTAAATGGGTCAGTGAAAAAGTACTTAAACACGTGCCAGGTTCAAGTCATTATTCAAATATATTGAATAATTAATACATAACATTGTTTTTGGGGAGTTGCAATTCTAAAAGAAACTGATTTTTGCTTATTGATTTCAGATCTGGCACACTTGATCTCGACTCCTGCTCAAAGGAGGGAGTGATCCTTCGATGCTCGCGTTCGTTTGCTGGCAAGGTGAACTTCTTCATTATGACGGTGAAACCAAAGGAGACGGTGGTGTGTTACCGTGTGCGTTGGGAAGAGTTGGAGTCAGACCGACCGGTGGAACATGCCATGTCCTACAATGAATCGCACTGGTATGGTGGTGCTGAGACTGCTGTTCAGCATTGGCCTATCGCCATCTCAGGCCAGCAGGCACCCAAACCTTTTGTCACTAGCGACGTGTACTCCAATCGCCATGACTTTGGTGGCATCCTGGAGCGCTACTGGCTTTCGTCCAATGCAACTGCCATTAAGATCAATGACTCTGTGCCCTTCCACCTGGGCTGGAATGATACAGAGAAAACCATGTACTTCCAGGCACGATATCAGGACAGTCCGTACAAACCTGCACCTGGAAGACCTCCCTATGCTGAACTTAGTTACAGAGTCTGCGTTGGCCCAGATGTGACCTCTATCCACAAGGTCATGGTTCGTCGATACTTCCCCAAACCCAACAAAGTGCCTGCCAAGGAAATGTTCCGGCACCCAATATGGTCCACCTGGGCTTTACATAAGACTGACATCAACCAGGAAAAGCTTTTAACTTATGCAGAGAATATACGCAAACATGGTTTTAACTGTAGCCACTTAGAATTTGATGATCGATATACTAGTCAATACGGGGAGTTTGAATTTGACACTCAGAAGTTCCCAAATGCTTCTGCCATGTTTCAAAAGCTCAAGGCAGATGGCTTCCTGGTATCCCTGTGGACACATCCCTTTGTGAATTATGATTCTGCTAATTTTGGGCCATGTGTACAGAAAGGCCTGTTCGTGATGGAGCCAACAGGCCAACTTCCTGCATTGGTTAAGTGGTGGAATGGCATCGGTGGAATCCTTGATTTTACCAATCCAGAAGCTCGCAACTGGTTCACATCCCATCTTCGCTCTTTACGCCACAAATATGGCGTTTCTTCCTTCAAGTTGGATGCAGGTGAGACCAACTATTTGCCCTGGCAGTTCAGAACTCGAGTCCACCTCCCCGACCCAAGCACCTTCACTCGCCGCTACACCGAAATGGCCATTCCTTTCAACGAACGCGCTGAACTTCGGTCCGGCTACAGCTCTCAGAATATCTCCTGTTTTTTCCGTCTAATTGACCGGGACTCTGTGTGGGGCTATGAACTTGGCCTCAAGTCCCTGATCCCAACCGTCCTCACCATTAGCATCCTGGGCTACCAGTTAACTAATTACTCCATGGTTACACTTGAGATGGTAACAAAATAGACACTTTTGTTTTTTCAATTCCAAATAGCCCTTTCGTAATTGCATATATAAATATAAAAATATAAAATTTATATACTATAAATAATTGATATCTTGGTTAGATATTTTATGTCAGAAGACCACTGTCCACAGGTTTTAAAGAGCAGTCTTGAATGTCCGTTTGCTCCGTCTCCACCTCATTTTCCTTACTGGCAGATTGGGCTGTATCTCTTCGTTAAGTTCAAACGAGGCTTTCAGGCAGGGCGGTCATGGGTCCATGGATTCACTGAACCTCCAACCTACTCTAGCCCCTCACAGGAATCGCAATTCTTTCATTTTATTAATTAATTAATTAATTTTATTTATTTTAAAATCAATGGACATTTGGATATGCATAGCAAATAAAATAAATGAGCAGCCCTGAATGATATACTCAAGCTAATGAAAATTGAGCATCACTATCAAAAAAGCTCATCTGGTGAAATAGTACATTAAATGATAACTCCTGTGTGTGGAGACATTTTAGAGCACCTGTGGCCCTGCTAAACCATTTCCGTACATGGACTCTTTTCTGGCATAGGTACTAATGAGTAGTTAAAAGCATGCTTTTAATAGATTTATTTTCTTGCTTCATAGTTACAGATGAAGATCCCCTGTGGGGACATGCCACATTTAGCATCTTTACACATCCACGAGTTGCCTGAACGATGACGCATACCAGGCCTTGTGTGAAAGGTAAACTTAAGTTCTGGTAGTTCGGTCATGAAGGGTTGATGATTTAATGAGAGGTGCATTGATCTAGCTTCATTTCGTTTTGAATTTTTAATCAATAGTCATGGCTGGAGGGAGATAATAAAGATGAGGCTAATTAATGAGACTGGTAATGGGCAGGATCTCCACAGTGGATCATTCCTGTTTGAGGACCCAGCTGTTCTGATGGACGAGCACGCTAAGCTTTGATACGAGGAATGGAAGGAAGGGATTACTGCTGGAAACAGGACCTTGGCTGCTCCGAGTGCTACTTGACCTTGAGTAATGTCATACTTTATGAACTGTGCCGAAGTGAAACTCTGGTTCACCAACTGCGATGCCTCTCAAAATCAGTGTCTGAAGAAATGAGGAGATTGAGAAAAATTAGCCATAATTTCAGAAGCTGAAACTTTGAAAATGTCATAAATGGGTGCTTATTGAATGTGACATTGATTAGCCGAGGGAGCAATGGAGAAAGATGATGGACTGTTTCATTTTACAATTTTATGACATTCAGAATTACACTGATGTAAGGGTGGAATTTATTTGATTGAATGGATAATGTTTTCTTTTTATTTTTGATGGTGGATTATAAATCTTCTAACTAAATGTACCCTTTTAATTATTATTCATTCTTAGGTAGATGCAGATGGTGGGGTGGGGAGCTTTTAATTTCTTGTAACAACCAGAGGCACAGTTCTACTGATGCAATTTAATTTTAAGTCAGGCCATGTACTATAGTTAAAGCATAGCTCACCCAGAACTTAAAATTTTGTCATCATTTACAATTGGTTAAAAAATATACACAAACATGATTGAGATTTGAGAGCTGAGGCAGAGAATGTTGTCAGTGAATGAATTTCAGCTTAAAAGGTCAGTTCTTTCAAAAATGACAATTCTGTCATAATTTATTCACCCTCATGCCATTCCAAAAGAGTCTCATTCTTCATATGAAGTGATTTAGTCTCTTTAGAAGACTTGGAGTAAACAGCTTAATTCATATGGGTTAGTTGCATAATATTTTTATGAACATTTTGAAAGTTTTGGTGGAATGGACTTTCAATGTAGGGAGTGAAATCTCTCAGATTTCATCAAAATATCTTAATATTATCTTATTAGATGAATTAAAGTCTAATGGGTTTGGATCAACAAGTGGGTAAGGAAATGGTAACATTTCATTTTTAACACTTTAATTTTCCTTTTGTGCTCCACAGAAGAAAAGCAACTCTTTAGGTTTGGAAACTAAATGAGGGTAAGTAAATAACGACTGGCTTTAATTTTTTAGGTGAACTGTCCCTTTAATGACAGAAGCTGTTTTGAATAAGCTGTCAATTCTAAAATGATTGTTTCTGATGATGTTTCAGATTTCTTTGTTTGAAACTATCGGTCAGACTTGTAACATCACAGGGCTGCTTAAACCACTCCGAGTCGAAGGTTTCCCGCCATTGCAAGAGTGACCTCCCATCTGCCGAGTCGTGTCTGAGGGGAACTTGTCTGTCCTTGCTGGGTAACAAATGACCCTGACACACCAGAGACTCTGTGCTTGCACCTGCTTAACTTTTCTCACCCGTCTGTCTCCCATCGCGCCAGACTGACAAAGCTCAGGGCCCTGTGGGCTCCAGACGATTCTTTTCGGACCGAGCGGCGCGCTAGCAGGCGAGAGCGGCTTACTCTGGTTTTGGCAGCATCTGTCAGCTCTGGGGTTGGTACAGCCCTTGGGGGGATGATAGACTTGCTTATAAATAACCCTGAAATGAATTAAGAGAGATAAAGAGGCGCCTGTTGCAGAGGAGACGGAAAGCTCTCTGTTTTGGCCGGAGGGCACGACGGGGGTGTCGGGACAGGGCGATACGGTCGAGAGGGAGCGGGAGGTATAATTGAAACATTGCGCCATGGCAGAGTGGCCTTTGGTGTGATTGATACCGTTTTAGAGTACTCCTGTTCGCCCGGGCTCTGGGGGATTTACCTGAGGCAGAGAAGGGAAGGGGGGATGCTTAGGTGGAGCATCCGGGTTTGGCAGAAAATTGGTGCCATCCATCAAGCACCAGATTTAACGAACGCTGAAACCGGGCCGCCCGGCAAAGGATTCTTATTTAAGGCAGTGAACCAGGAAACGTGTGAGGGGCATGGACTGATGCGGGTCTATCAATCAGCCAGTCAGCTCCTTTATTCAACAAGCGAGCGACAGCCCCTGAGGCCAGCGCATGGGGTTCCGGCTTGTTGGCCTTGCAACACTCTCCCTGAAGGGAAGTGGTGGCAAGTGAATGCGAAAGAGAGGTGGAGAGAGTTTTGGGGAGGGGGACAAGAAGAGGAGAGGCATCAGGGCTTGGCCGTGTCCCCTGATGAGCTAGCATGCTTCATCTTTCTTGCTCGTGGACCTGGAACTGCGGCTTGATGGGATTTTCAGCACTGTGGCCTCCATGCCTCGCAGGCGAGCGGTCGGGGGGCCTAAGGCCAGGCTCCCAAGCTGTGCGGCAAAACGCTGATGCCCTCGCTGAGTCTCGGACTCCCTTAACACTCCGCCACCTTTGCCTGAACTTGCAGAAGAAAATCCAGAGCGCAGGATTTAATAGCTCTGCAAGAGTGAGGAATGAAATGCAACTTCACATTTTCTGCAGTTGTAGAATGCAAAAGCATGGCTGAAACCCAGGGGCTCAAACTCAAATTACCTGGTGGGCCGCTAGCCAGACTCCAACAGGGTCCAGTTGAATAGATATGTGTTTTTACAACTATGAATTTTAACTTTATAAAGTTTACGATGTAGTTGTTAAGTCATTAATGCATGGACAGGTGTTTTCAAGTTCCTGCAGATCAGACAGGTAGCAATTGCAGGAAGCGACCAGTCATCAGAAACTGGTTTTAGGTTCTGGTAAGAAGATTTTGTTCATGTTTTTTTCTGTAATAATATTAGGCAACTGACTATCATTAAATCTCAAACCACAATGCAGAGACTAAAAAAACAAATTGCGGGATGCATTTAAAGATAAACTATTGAACTCTTTGGTTGGTAATTATGCATGTTTAGCCATGTTCTGCAGTATTTAAAGTAGGGGTGCACAAAATGTATACCGGTACAGTTATCATCCGATACAAGATTATTTTAATTTAGCCGAATCAATTGATGTTGGATTTTTAATTGTGCTCCTTTCATCTATTTTTACATTTAAATGTACCATTTGCCTGTGCCATCATGTTACACTCACTTACAATGTTTAAAATTAAACTTTAAAACACTAATCATTTAATAACACTGTTAAATGTAATCTTTAGCAAATCTCAAAATTAATATACTTTTTTTCCTGCTGTATATTGTAATGTGACACCTACAATCAATATTAGTATTTGAAATGAGATATTTTTAGTTTTTAGTTTAAACTTTTTTAGACAAAGTAGTATATTATTTGATCAGTTATTGGCCATAACAAGAGATTATTTTTCTACTTATCATATCCGACAGAATTTGAATGTCATTTCTAATTTGAAGTCAAAATGAAATAAAAACCTTATTAGTACTATTTTAGTACCTTATCAGTACTAATATTATTTTATAGTAAATGATTATTAGTTACTTTATTAGTCCAGGGCTGCATTCCCCAAAAGCATCGTAAGTTTAAAGTCCCCATGAAATCAAAATTAAAGTTTTTTTGGGTGTTAATAACAATATGTTAGTCTTAAGGTTATCTATAAGGCAGTGTGCTCCAAAACAGTGACAAAATTCGCATTTAGAAGAGATAAGCATTCAAAGCTTATAGTTTGTCACTTCCGCCAAAACGGCTCAACGATTTTTTTGACGTCACATTGTACTTCATCTTCTCATCAAATCTTCTGACCAATCAAACGCTCTCTAGAAGCCGAAGCGCACCCCCTACACTTTAAATAGACGCTGAAGTTGCGGCTGAGATCGGTTGCTTGTTCACAGTATAGTATATCCTGTACAGTGAATGGCACGTAGTGCACAATGTAGGCGAGAGGGAACGATTCAGACAGTGTATGCTTTCGATTGGGGCAAATGAGGTCTGGTTTCACATTGTGTCAAGCGAACCGTGGCAGCGCGCACAGTCCAGAGACGCGATGGCACGGAGCGGATCATATGTGCGAGTCGGCATATATTAAACACTTTTAAAACTACACAGCCTCAGCATGATTATGATCACTATTTTGTTTTACTAAGAGTTTCATATTGAATCTAGGGGGTAAATTATTAGACTGTGGCTGTGAAATGCGGCTTTACCGAGCTCAACGGCTCCCTCTGACCCATGCAGATATAAACAAAACGCTATTGGCTAATTTTAAAAAGGGGGTGGGGCTGCTCGATATGTCCCGCCCTGTCTTCCTGTTTCAGTTGAAATGAGTCACCACATAGAATTGCTACACATAAACCACATAAAAGTAGGCTGCGTTTTACTCACCCCCGATGCATCCTAGGTGTATGTGACTTTCTTCTTTCAGACGAATCCAGTTGGAGTTATATTAAAAATTGTCTTTGATCTTTCAAGCTCTATCGTTGCACTCAGCGGGTGTTGCATTGCTTCAGTCCAAAAGACGTGAAATAAAAAGCACCTTTCCATAAAAAAAAGTGTCTCACACGGCACCGGGGGGTGAACAAAGGCCTCCTGTAGCGAATCGATGCGTTTTTGTAAGAAAAATATCCATATTGAAAACGTAACAATCACTTGAATCTAGCTTGCGCCAGCAGTTGTACACAGAAGCAGTTCCGGGAGCATGACGTATGAGGTCAGCGTTGCGCATGCGCCGGTGAGTCTCGTGAAAACCAACGTTTGTTTACAGGATCAAAAGAAGCAAAGATTCCTTACTTTAGCAAAGGAAAACAAGTCTCCTCTTGGCTTATATCGAAATCCTCCGACATTCTTCTTTACAAATCCTCGTTTTGTACTTCTAATTAGTGACTGTTGTTTTGTTTCGATCTCTCTGCCTGCGTCACTTCTGAGCGGCTCATGCGC